GACTTAGCCCCGCTGCCCCCTGAGTTGGTAGATGTCTGCTGCGACTTAGCCCTGCTCTCCCAGGTCTTCTTGGAAGATATTAATCATTTTTAAATTGAGAGAGATGCGCAACTTAGTTCCCTGGGTTTATCTCTAGCCAGCATTGCATTTGGTTGCTTGTTATAGTTCATCAAGACTACATTTTGTCCTCAGAGGCAGCAAGAACTTATGTGTGTGTGTGTGTGTGTGTGTGTGTGTGTGCGTATCTATAAGAAGTTAACCTGGTTCTTGTTGTTTCTTTTATCATCTATTCTTACTCATTTTCTGCCTCTTTTTCTTTCTTTTGTCTTTTTTGGCCATTTAATTGCTCTGAGCTGTAAGACCCGTACTTACGAAGTTTTTCAACACCTAGGAACTCTCAGCACTGTGCCTTATGTGCCCACTACACACAACCCCCCCACCACCCACAAAACGAGCTCTGAATTTGTAAAAGGTGAAGAAGACCCCAGGGTCTGTGACTCCAGGAATAAAAAGTCTGGGCAAACTGTTCACCTTGGGCCACAGCAGACCTTAAAAGTGCCATTAAAAAAAAACAAGCTGGGAAGGTGGCTTAGTGGTAGAGCGCTTGCCTTGCATGCATGAGGCCCTGGGTTCGATTCCTCAGCACCACATAAGCAGAAAAAAAAGCTGGAAGTGGCACTGTGGCTTAAGTGGTAAAGCACTAGCCTTGAGTTGAAGAGCTGAGGGACAGCGCCCAGGCCCAGAGTTCAGGCCTATGACAGGATCCCCCTCGCCCCCCAAAAAAACTCAAAAAAAAAACCTCATAATGGTTAAGTAAGGAGGGGTTCAGAGTTTGGTGAAATGCAAATAAGAAATTTCATTATGCACATAGCTATAATTTACACCAGAAGGAGGGAATAAGCATTTACTTTGGGTTTTAATCCAGCCAAAGACCACAGGACTTTGCTGCTATTATGGCTAACTGGGCAGCTTCCCTAGCTCCACAGGGAGTTCTCAGAGCTCCCTCGTCCCCAGGCTGCCTTGGGGCCCAGAGCTGGAGGCCCAGGGAGGCCGTGCCTGTAGACATTAGAGGAATTCATTTATTCACATGAAAAGTTATTCCCAGAAAAGTTCCATAAGCTAACATTTGTATTAATTGAATTTTGCTCAGCCACTGACATATATACACAACATTCCAGTAATTTCTAAGACAGTAACTTTTCCATTAATAGTTAAATGGTCTCAACTGTATACAACTAACTGCTAAGAGCCCTCATATGTTTAAAAAACACCCTTAAAAATAGAAATAGTCATCTCCTAGTTAATTGGAAAAACTCTGAGTTTTCCTAAGTCACATTGGATAGGAGTTTGGTGCAAGTACACAAATACCTAAGTTATAAACAGTGTTATCATTATCACAAAGACACAAAACCTCCTCATCTCCTGAGCAGGACATGGAAAGATGACGAATGCCCAATTGCAAACAAGCCACAAACAAGGGGAAAATACAGTCAAAAGGTACTAAATAGACACCTAGTATCCTGAGTTCAGAGGAGAAAATGGTCCCAAGGAAATGGGAGGACTTTGGGAAGATGATCAGCCATAAAAAGG